GTGTGACCCGGTCCTGGGGCCATCCTGCAGGGCAGGGGTGGAGGGTTGCTGGGGCCGGGGTAGGAAGCATTTTTTCGCGCGCGGGGAGGTGGCACCCGGGGGCCGGGGGTCCCAGCTGGCCCAGCAGTTGAAGCACCCGGGGGGCCGAGGCCCGGCTGCGCTCGCTCCGGCAACGGGCCGGGCGGTGCGCCTCCGGTGTCCACTAGCACCGCCCGGCCTCTGTCAGTGTAAGTATCGCAGACCCAAGAAAGCATCCCCGCCTCTGTCGCGGCCAGCTGACAATCGCCGCCGCCGCGCGCCCCCCTCCCGCGCGGCCGCCCCATTTCCTCACAAAACCCTGCCCCGTAAACCCTGTTCTGCAGGTGACTGACGCGGTCGAGTTGGTGAAGGAGATGCGGCCAGACCTCAAGGTTCGTGAGTGTTCTGGGAGCTCACAGAGGGTGCTTTCGAGCTCTGGGGCCGACCTTGGTTTTGGGGGCGCGGGGGCGGGCCGCGGCCCCCCACAGGAGGCTCCGGCTGCAGCTGGGGGTGGTAGAACGGTAACGGAGGGCCCAGACGCATTCTCATGCGTCACTGCGTCGGTCGGCCCGCTCGCGGCCCGGCTGCCCCCCCTGCGGCCCCCTCGAGCCACGCTCTGCTCGTGCTGACATCATCACGCTGTCATGCTGACATCATCACGCCGGCATGCTGACGTCACCAGGTGGAGGGCCCCATCCAGTACGACGCCGCCATCGACCCCAAGGTGGCGGCGGTGAAGATCAAGACGCACAGCGAGGTGGCGGGGCGGGCCAACGTTTTCGTGTTCCCTGACCTCAACACGGGTGGGTGGCGCGCGGTGAGGGTGCGTGGGTGGTTCGCGGCTGTCAGTGTACTTGATGTTGATGGCCGTGTGTGTGCGTGTGTGTCAGGGGGAGCGCACTCATGGTTTTGCTGTGTGTGCAGAAGGGGTGTGTGTACGTGTCTGAGGGACGGGGGGCCGTTGAGGGAGTGGGGGTGTGCGTGCTTGTGCGTGTGCGTGCGTGTGTGTGTGTGTGTGTGTGCACGTGTGCACGTGTGCGCGAGCGCATGTGTTTGTGTGTGTGTGTGTGTGTGTGTGTGTGTGTGTGTGTGTGTGTGTGTGTTTGTGCACGTGCGTCGTAGGTGGCGAGCTTCAGGAGGTTGGGAATGCGATCTTGGCCGTGGATCAGAGCCTGTCTTTTCTCAAACCTGGACTTGGGGTGGACGGGCGAAAGGCGCGGTGCTGGGTTGTGATGAATGGGAAGAACGAGAGGCGCGTGTGCCCGGCTTGCGCACGGGCCGGGCGAGCGCATGTGCTCACAGGTGAGGGGACGGCGTGCAAGCGCTGCCGCCTCCGCTGTTTGGGGGGTCGAGGTCGGCCGCGCCGCGGGTGCGGGCCGGGCGAGGTTGCGGGCTCAACGCAGTCGGCGGGCTCTGTTGCGGTCAGGGGAGGGGGGGGTGCTGCTGATTGGTCTTTTAAATGCGAACAGCAGCATCCGCACCCCATTCCAACCCCATGCATGCAAACCAGCTGCATGACCAGCCCGGCCCTGCCCGCCCTCGCGTCGCGACCCGGCGGCCCCGGCCGCGCGACCCAGCGCTGGTCTGGCATGTGCTGTCCCCCCTTTCTGCACAGCGTCCACGGCCGGGCGGCCGACCCTCACCCCCTGGATTCCCAACAAGCTGCCCCCACCCTAAGGGCATGTAACACCCGCCTGCCTGGCAGCTCTTTTCTTGGTCACCTCAACCGTATCCGGGAATGACCTCGAGAGTCCTAATGATGATGAAAATGGCCCGATCTTTTCCCCCTCAGCCACTGTTCCCTGCTCCGACCGCAACCCCTGCAAAAAAACAGGCAACAACACCTACAAGGCGGTGCAGCAGGCCACCGGCGCCATCGCCATGGGGCCCGTCATGCAGGTGTGTGCTCATGTCATGATGACGTCAGCTCGCCCTGGCCTGCGGGCCGGCTGCCACGCCCCGTGCATCCGATTGGACGCCTCGGCTCCCCCCGAGTCGGCGCTGCCGCCCGGCCCCCCGTTGTGCCTTCCCTTTGCAACAGCAACATTATCTGGATTCCAGCAACCACTCTGAGCACAATAACCACTGAAGAAAGCAAATTTTGAAACTCCCACTCGCCACCCCCCATCCCAGGGCCTGTCCAAGCCGGTCAACGACCTGAGCCGCGGCTGCACCGTTGCTGACATCATCAACACAGTGTGCGTCACCAGCGTGCAGGCCATGCAGGCAAAGCAGGGCGCCGGGGCCGCCAAGAGCGCCGCCGCGGCCGCGGCCGCCGCGGGGGTGCCGCAGGCGGCCGCGGCGGCGGCGTGAGGGGATTGGGGGCCGGTGCGTGGGATGTGGCGGCCGGCCTGAACGCGGGCTGCTGCGCAAACAATGTGGAGGCGATCGGAAGGAGGCGGCCAGGGCGGGAGTCCTGTGGGACACCAGCCTATCACTTTTGGGGGGGAAGGGGTGGATTGGGTGTTAAGTTAAGCACGCAAGAACCCAACAAGGCACGAGTGCCGGCAGCTTTTTCTAGGGTTTTTTTTATTTGGCATGCTTCTTGCGCCACAGCCTTTTGCGCACCAGGAGCGAGCGCACGAAGAGCTGTTGGGAAGATGAGAGGGTGCACCGCGCCGCCGCTGCCTCGGGATTCAGATTTGCTTGTCACTTGTCGCTGTTTGTACCTGCCCCTTGCTTTTGCTCCACCAAGGTGGCGGCCAACCTGCGTGCCGCAGTGGCCTACACAGACCCCACCTGAAAACGAACCCTGAGCTGGCAGTTGCCGGACACTTGCGCAGTGCCGGCTTTGTCCCGGCCCCACACTTGATTACTGCAGCCGCACGCATCCTTTCCGCACCCATTGTTCGCAGCGCCTGCGGGCGCGCGCAAGTCACCCAACCGACTTTCAGGCGCCCGTAGGCCTTTTGTTGCGGCGGCCAGGGCTCGGCCTCAAGGCATATGCAATGATGCAAATCATCACACAACAGGTAAACTCGTGAGCAGCAG